CGCAGTCTCGGTGGCTCGCGCCGGGATACGGGCACTAGGTCCCGGCCGGCCGCGGCTAAGGGAGACTCGCGCATGCGCAGTAGGCGCCGGGAGCACACGCTGGGCGGCCAATGACAAGCAGGGCGCGGTATTTAAAGATGCCCTGCGCTGTCACAAATCGCCGCAAGGTCTATCCTGTTACCTGAGTTCCTGTACCCCTGTGAGTGAGTTATTTTGACCTGGATTGCCCTGACTACGCTGCCTTCTCCTGCTTTTGACCCGGATTGCTCTGACTACGCTGCCTTCTCCTGTCCTGACCCCCAGCTTGTTTGACCTCTCTGCGGACTGACCATTCCTATACTGATCCTGCGTGTGACCTGACTATCCTCTGCCTGCCGATTCTGTACCTCACTGCCCCACGGTGACAACTGGCTAGTTTGACTACGATCCGTCCATCCATCCATCCTGCCTGGGCCTGCCGGCCTCCTCACATCTGGCTCTCCTCCTGTATCCATCCCCGGAGGTTCCCTCTGCCACGGGCGGGATTGCTCGGAGGTTGTGACCTGGTCCTGGTCTGCTTCAAGTCCATCCCCACCATCAGGGGCCCTGGTGAACACGCAGACCGGGACTTAGACTCCACGCTCTGGGTATTCCTGTCCAGTGGGCTGCCAGAGGCACCACCTGGCGGATCCTTAACAATTGAAGTCAAGAATGACACCAAGTACTCTGGCTTGCGGGGTGGGCCTGATGGTGGCATTGTTGGACGTGATGGAGAAGTCAGTGGGGGGGGGGGGGTGCGAGGGCTGGGGGGAAAACTAGGAACTCGGTTTTGGAGAGGTTCAGTTTAAGGAAGTGGAGCGACATCCAATCTGATATACCTTTCAGCAGGCTAGTGATTCGGGTGGAGACTGAAGGGGTGAGACGAGGGGTTGAGAGATAGATTTGCGTATCGTCAGCATAGAGGTGGTAGTTGAAGCCGTGAGAGTGTATCAGTTGGCCAAGGGAGGAGGTGTAGATGGAGAAGAGAAGGGGTCCGAGGACAAAGCCTTGAGGGACCCCGACAGAGAGGGGCAGTGAGGGGGAGGTGGTAGTGTTATAGGTAACGCTGAAGGAGCATTGTGATAGGTAGGACGAGAGCCAGGAGAGAGCGAGTCTTTGAGGCTGAGGGAGTGTAGTTTTTTTTGAGGAGGAGGGGGTGGTCGACTGTGTTGAAGGCCGCTGAGAGGTCGTGGAGTAGGAGCACTGAATAGTGGCCATTAGCTTTGGCGGTTAGAAGGTCGTTGGTGAGTTTAAGTAAGGCAGTTTCAGTGGAGTGTAGGGGATGGAAGCCGGACTGTAGGGGGTTGAGGAGGTTGAATACTAGTCAGTACCAGTGTGCAAAAGTGTATTTGTTTTGGAAGAATAAATCACCTCTAACTTTGGGTGTCCTACTTGTCTGGATGTTGCTACATTACACAAAACTATTAGAATAGTTTTTTTTTAACATTTTAGAATGGGGTTCCTCAAGACTGTCCATAATTTCAGAGGATGACTTGAAATTGTCCATACTTTTGAGGGTACCTTGACTGAAACAAGGTTGAGAAACACTGGTTTACAGAAAGAAATTGTCCTCATTTGTTATTCTTCAATCAAGTTGGGCATCACATAATCCCTTAATCCTATCCAAGTTAAACTCCCTAATAAAGAAAAAAACAAGCCCATGGACTGTTTCTTGTATCTGGAAAATGTGTGTTGCTTGGCTGTGCAGGAAGTAAAGGGCGATCCAAAACCAGCGGCTCTCAAGAAGGTAGTGTTACACAAACTTTAAAAACTCCTTTAGATACAATATACAGGACAAATGTACCTTTGATAGCCTGCACATCTATAGCCAAATTCACAATAGAAGCCAATTTATTTGAATGCTGTCAAGCCCCCGTTTAAAAAGAAAAAAAAAGAATTAAAAAAAGTAAGGAGGATCGATGAGCAAACTGATATTTGTAGATATCAGATACAGTATCTGTGAATGTGCCCAATCCAAGTCATATCTAAATGAACTGGTTTAATCATTTTCTTAGACTTGACCTCAAGAAGGGGTCGCAATAAGAACTGAAGAGGCAGCAGTACATAATATGTATGACAGACGAGGCCTAACAAGTGTAGATAACTGTGAAATATTGAAAATGAGTCTTGTACTTGAACACTTCCTCCATCAGCTCTTGGAAGAATTCCATTTGTTTCCTGTGAATTACTGATGAATAATTACTGCTAAATCCTTCATTGTACCTTTCCCTTCCCCCCTGCACCCGGAATACAGCTGCCTTCCTATTGCAAAGTGGGAAAAAGGCCAAAAAATGTGCATTGGAACAATACCCATGCTGGCAATCGTCCTGCATAATTTAGCTGCTTAACTTCTTTTTTGCAATACTGAAAGAGTTAAAACAGGCTGATTAATTATTTCCTAATAAGTATATTGCACATTAAATTTCATTCTGACTACAGAATACATTGAAATCCTATATGAGACACTCTATTATAATGTCACTTGATCATATGTGACATTTTCTTTGGCAGGATACGGCGACTGATAACCTGCAGTTAAAGGTACAGTCCAGTTAGATATGAAAGTTTTGCATTTACAGTCAGAGGGTGCATCTGCTGAGTGGCTGTATGTACCTTCTGCACTTTGTTGCCCCATATATTCTATTGCCATTTCTGATTAGTTCTGTATCTTAATCCAAGATAATGCAGGCCAGAGTGTTCCCTGGTTCTGAGTTGCACCCATTCACTGAGCACCCCTGCAGTCTCAACCGCACATGCTAGAGCATGAAAGAGATGGTGTACAACACAGAATCATGTAACAAGAGGCTGCAAGCCCATTCAGAAGTACTTTGAAAAATTTTATAATGTTGGTTAGGAGAGATCTTTATTATATTCATATTTAAAGTAACTGAGTGGACATTGTGATCTACACAATTACAGTGTTTCCTTATAAAACATTAGCTGACTGAGGTTTCCCTTTATCAATATGATTCATCAACACAACCCAATAGTTTTCTTTTGCATTCAAATATAGAGATTGATTAACCACTTAACCTCGAGAAGATTCCCAACACTCTCCCCCCTCCTTCATGACCAGGCCATGTTTTGCGATACGCCGCTGCATTACTTTGACTCTAGGTTCACATCTGTACGGGTGGTGCTGCTGCGGATCTGTACGAAAATCCGTGCAGCTGCACCACCAGCATAGAGAAATGAGGAGTTCTAATGGCATGCCGCCCGCACTGAAAAATGCAACGTACTGGGAACCGAGGTTCCCGTGCGGGCTGCGTTTTCCAAAGAAGTGCAGAGACTTCTTCCCTGCGTGTCATGGGCATGGGAGTCCATTCAAATGAATGGGCTCTCATGCCCATGCAAAACGCGGCCTGCACGGCCGCATATATGTGAACTGGGGGTAAGTGACAATTGTGCGGTCATGCAACACTGTACATAAATGAAATTTATGTCATTTTTTCCCCATAAATAGAGCTTACTTTTAGTGGTACTTGATCATCTCTGGGTTTAAATTTTTTGAGCTATAAATGAAAAAACACTGTCATTCAAAAAAAAACTATATTTTTTACGTTGTGCTTTAAAACATATCCAATAAAAAAATGTAAAAAATCGAATTTCTTCATAAATTTAGGCCAAAATGTATTCTGCTACGGATTTTTGGTAAAAAAAAAACCCTAATAAGCGTACATTGATTAGTCTGCGCAAAAGTTATACCGTCTACAAATGGGGGTATATATGCTGAAATTTATTTTTTTATACTAGTAATGGTGGCAATCAGTGATTTATAGCGGGACCGCGATATTGCGGCGGACAGTTTGACACTAAATGAAACTGGTGGAAGGTCTGCACTAAACATTCTCTGAATAGGACAGTGTGAAATTCAGCATTGCCAACGTGTATAAAAGCAAAGATTTTTTTTTTTAAAAACTGCAAACACAATTTTTTCCCATCAGTTTTAGTTGTCAGTTTTAGAGTCATGAGAAAGAGCCATCCAGATGCGTGTTTTCCTCAGCTGAGGAGGTGTGCCATTCCAGTGCAGAGTGGAATAGTAATTCAATAAGTCACCATTAATCCGAAGCAGAAGGCAAGGTCAGCACACTGACATCATTCTGGGAGAGTGGAGAGTTTGTTGAAATCAGGTCTCTACCTCAGCTGCATTTAATTACATGTACCAACTGTGCTAATGTTTATGTAATTGCTACAATGTCCTCTTGGTTAGATCCCACGTTCGGTCATGTGGTACAATGGAACATTTAAAGGAATTTGTTTAAATAAAAACATACCTGCTTATGTAACCTATACTGAACAGAGTTACTTCTATTAGTGACATTTTCTAAAGGTAACCTGCAGTGAATGAAATATGGAGGTTGCCATTAATCACCTCCTTCTGAAAATGCTAATTCCTAGGAATGAGCTTGGGTCTGAACCTGGAGGTTGACTGTCATTGATGGGTCAATGACCTTTTGGTGGAAGACTCCCCCATTCTGAAGCTGACATACACATCATTGACCTAATATGGGCAAATGGCCATATTAAGTCAATTTTAATTCATTTATTTCAGGTACTTATATAGTGCTGCCACTTTGTGCAGTGATATATATATATATATATACACTGTATATATTGTACATTCACATCAGTAGCTAACCCTAACATATCTAAGTTCCCTAACTCACATTCATACATACACATACTAGGGCCAATTAATTAGACAGTATCCAATTAACCTACCAGCATGTCTTTGGAATGTGGGAGGAAAATGGAGTACCCAGAAACTCCAGGCAGGTGGTGGTGTGGTTGGGATTTGAACCAACAACCCTAATACTACCAGGTGGAAGTGCTAACCATTTAGCCACTGTGCTGCCCCAATTACATTGATCTAACATGTATACTTTTCACGTTTCTCTGGCACTTCACTTTTGTTGTGTAACAGATATAGTGGAGTATACCTGGAGTAATCATCTATAAAAGTGAGATAATACCTCTTCCTTCAGTCTCCGTTAATTTCTTTATTGTGTCAGAACATCTCTGCCCAAGTCATCTGTGCCATGTGTGAATGCAGTTTGAATGTTTTTCCACTTTGGCAGTATTAACCAACTCATTGCAGTTCAGCTGATACAGTTCATCTGTAATTTTATCCTTTGCAAGTAAGATATCACCTTTTATGATGGCACAGCGGTAATTTTGGAAGGTCACTACATTACCTTGTTTTGTGAGCTCCTTCACTGGCAAATGATTATTTTCAAGAGGTGGGAAATACAGGTCATTTTTCACAGGTATCTTTCAAATGACAATAATCCGAGCCCCTCCAATGGGGTTTTACCATCTCGATCCCATAAAAGGTAAGTAAGCTCGGATCACAATTATGTACCAATTTGAAATGTTTGGATACACTATGTTTATCAAATCCTTTTACTATGTTCTTACCCCTCGTACGCTGTCTGTCTTTGTTGTACTGTGCCATGTATTGTCCCCCCCTATTGTACAGCGCTGAGCAAACCCTTTGGCGCTATATAAACTCGTAGTAATAATAATAATAATAATAATGTTTCTTATATGTTCGCCTATTCTTGTTTTTAAACATCTCCCAGTTCATTTGAGATATATTGGGAGAACTGGGAGATGTTTAAAAACAAGAATAGGCGAACATATAAGAAACATAGTAAAAGGATTTGATAAACATAGTGTATCCAAACATTTCAAATTGGTACATAATTGTGATCCGAGCTTACTTACCTTTTATGGGATCGAGATGGTAAAACCCCATTGGAGGGGCTCGGATTTGGTTAATGAGATTTCCAAAAAAGAGACGTTTTGGATTTATGAACTAAATTCCTTGCAACCATTTGGGTTAAATGTCGATATAGATTTGAATTGTTTTCTCACAAATTTTTAATTTTTATGTTATTTTAAGTATATTTTTATATAGGCAACTGTTTAAAGATGATATATGGGAGATTGTATGCTTTTTGTACAATTTTTGCATTATTTTTGTATTATTACTAGAGTTCCCCTTTATTTGTGTTTAAAGTGTTACTGGCCCTTTAAGTTCCCTTTTTGAAACACAGTCTTAGAGCAGGCATGTCCAAAGTCCGGCCCGCGGGCCAATTGCGGCCCGCGTTCCGGACTGAAACGGCTCCACAGGTGAGCTACCCAAATATATAACTTACGGCCCCCGGTAGCGATTCCCTGAAAGCTACTGAGGACTCCAGCGATCTCTTGACATAATCAGCTGGCGCAGGAAGGAGAGCCCAAATCTCGCGACGTCCAAGATCTCGTGAGATTTGGGCTTTCCTTCTCTGTGTGCCGGCTGATGACGTCAATTCCCGCTCGAGTGATCCCTGGAGTCCTCAGTGGCGTTCGCAGAATCACTAGTGAAGGGCCGTAAGTTATATATTGGGCAGCTCATCTGTGGGGTCCGGAACGTGGGCCGAGGGATCCCAGGTGGTGCACAGGGAATTACTACTGGGGCTACCATTTACAGTATTTTTTCGCTCCATAAGACGCACTTTTCCCCCCCTAAAAAAGGGGGGAAAATGTCAGTGCGTCTTATGGAGCGAATATAAAGCGGCCAGTCCGGTATTTCTGCCGCCACCATGTCAGAATACCGGGCCGGGCGCTCAGCTGTTGTCTCCTGCAGGGTCTTACCTGTTCCTCGCTCCAGCGCTGCACAGTCTTCCTGCGCTGGCTTCTGTGACAGCCGGGTGCCCACTGCGCATGCGCTTCGCTTTGTGAATGGTCATCGCAGTCTCTGGTCATCTCCTGTACTGTGTCCGCAGTCTCTGGTCCATCTCCTGTACTGTGTCCGCAGTCTCTGGTCCATCTCCTGTACTGTGTCCGCAGTCTCTGGTCCATCTCCTGTACTGTGTCCGCAGTCTCTGGTCCATCTCCTGTACTGTGTCCGCAGTCTCTGGTCCATCTCCTGTACTGTGTCCGCAGTCTCTGGTCCATCTCCTGTACTGTGTCCGCAGTCTCTGGTCATCTCCTGTACTGTGTCCGCAGTCTCTGGTCATCTCCTGTACTGTGTCCGCAGTCTCTGGTCATCTCCTGTACTGTGTCCGCAGTCTCTGGTCATCTCCTGTACTGTGTCCGCAGTCTCTGGTCATCTCCTGTACTGTGTCCGCAGTCTCTGGTCATCTCCTGTACTGTGTCCGCAGTCTCTGGTCATCTCCTGTACTGTGTCCGCAGTCTCTGGTCATCTCCTGTACTGTGTCCGCAGTCTCTGGTCATCTCCTGTACTGTGTCCGCAGTCTCTGGTCATCTCCTGTACTGTGTCCGCAGTCTCTGGTCATCTCCTGTACTGTGTCCGCAGTCTCTGGTCATCTCCTGTACTGTGTCCGCAGTCTCTGGTCATCTCCTGTACTGTGTCCGCAGTCTCTGGTCATCTCCTGTACTGTGTCTGCAGTCCATTGGTTCAGAATTTTTTTTTTTCCTGTTTTTTTTTTTTCGCCTCTAAAACCTAGGTGCGTCTTATGGTCAGGTGTGTCTTATGGAGCGAAAAATACGGTATCAATTTGGGCTATAATGGATTGGTGCTCAGGATCGCTTGACGTCATCAGACAGTGCAAGGAGAAACAATGCCCAAATCTCGCGACCTCCGAGATCTCGCGAGATTTAGGCTTTCCTTCTCCCTGTGCTGGCAGAGTGATTTAACACCTGTTTAGATTTGTCATCCAAGTCACAAAATGAAAAATATGCCGTTTTCAATAAACTTTTGCATAAAATAAAATAGTTCATTTGCATTTAATTTTAATGGTTCATCAGAATGTCGGGCAAAATGGTCGGCCCTCGCACATGTTCACTTCATCAAATCTGGCACTCTTCCAAAAAAGTTTGGACACCCCTGGTCTTAGAGGGTGCTGGCCCGTTAATGTATTTATTTATTTATTTAATTTATTTATCATTAGTGTTTTATTTAAATTTCTTTTTATTTTATTTTTGTTCTCTTGTTTTAAAGTTTTTTTGCTTGTGATGGCAAATATATTGGATACATTGTATATCCTTTTGGACTCCTGTCATCTGTGGGGCGGCTTGCTTTGCTTGATTCCCCATTGATGTCAGCTGTTCGTTTCCTGTGAGTGAATATTTAAGGAGGTTGAGACGTCTCACATCTATCCGCTCCGTGAGGACGTCGATGACGAAACGCGTAGGGCGGAGCTTGATTGATGTGACGTCATTACGTTTTTGGCTGCCAGCTATTGCGCATGTGCTGAGTAGCCAGGCTCGTTTATGTGATTGCTGTTATGCTGTTGATGCTGGTGTCGGCTGGGACACCTCTTGAGTAAGTGCAATGAGTACCTAATAAAGGAATTGGTTTTTATAATATTGCACCATGAAGTCTTTCTGTTTCTCTTGAGTGCTTGGCATTTCCCCCCATGGATACATTTGAAGGTGGTCCTTTATCTATTGGAGAAGTGGATTTTCGATTAACTACAAAGTTTTTCATCCTGTTATTTCGATCGATGAGGATCGGTGTGTTGCAGAGTTTCCGTTTCTGAAGATATATTTATGGATGATCTGCCATTATATTATCAAGGTTTTTTGGTGAAATTTTTCATATTTAGACACTTTTTTTGCACAAAAGTTTTTTGCACTTAAAAGTTTTTTTATATTTTTTTTTTTTTTTTTTTGTGGTATTGGCATATATATATTTTTTTCTGGACTTATGATTTGATGATTTCTTTATATATATTTATATATTTATACACATTTACTAGCGCAAATTATTTATTTATCTTTCAAATGACACTCTGGGAAACTCTGGGAACAGTAAAGAAAACTGTCTCCTATTTCTTCTGATCCCATTATTTGCCCATTAGCTGTGGTGATTTTTTCTGTTTTACTCTGTTTAAGGTGAATAAAGAAATTGCTGTCATTTGTCATGTAACTCGTAGCTCCTGAATCAACACACCATGCCTGCAAAGATGAGGTGCAACTTTTTGATTGAAAAACGTATTCATTAACTGAAGAAAAATCAGTTTCTTCCTTCACACTTTTGGCTTTTTGTAGTTTAGTTTGTTTTTGCATTCAAGCTTTTCAGATTCTGCAATCTGCTTTTAAATGGCCTTGTTTCTTGTACACTAAACATTCACGTGTTTCTTTTTGCATGTTACTGTTTTTATTCCTATTTTTTGTCTTTAAAGCAGACTCTGCAACAGGAGCACCATCTTTCTTTCTGTTTTACGCTTATATTCATCTACAAGCTTGCCCTTCACATATTCCAATGTCAGTTCATCTGGACGCTCATCAAGTGCTGTGACAAGCGTTTCATAACTTTCTGGTAAACCACTAAGTAATGGTGCTGCGACATGAAAATCTTTTATTTCATCTTCTATACCTCTCAGTCATGCAACCATTTCCACAGTGTGCCTAATGTAATCATGCATATACTGGCCTTTCATCAGCTTGGTTTGGTATAGCTTTCTAATCAAATACAGTTTATTGCCCTCACATTGTAAAGCACTGCGCAAACTATTGGCGCTATAGAAATCCTGTATAATAATATAATTGCTGAGATTAGCACTTTCATGCACCTAATCCTCCCAACATTTCTTCAACAGTTTTACTATTGCATATATGTATGATTTGATCATCTTCTTTGCTAAGAGATATTGTGCTCTGAGCTTTCTGATCTTTATCTATCCACTCATCTGAAAAGTGTTCTGGCCTGAATTCATTTGTAGATTTCCATGTACCTACTCTGATTAGTAGCATTCTCATCTTGAATTTCCAAGACTGATAGTTCTGGTTTGTCAGGTTTTTTTGAGCAATGTGTGTATATTTATATATTTATATAAATATATATATATATATATATATAGATACTAACTATATATATATATATATATATATATATATAAACTCTGATTCCCGTATTCTGGCTGGATATCCTATAACTTTACACTGAAACCATGATTTTTAAATAAAAAAAAAAAAAATATATATATATATATACATGTTTATACATTTATCCCAGCATTTAACCAATGCCTGGAAAGCTTCATCATAGAAAGATTTGTCAGTACGCCTCAACCATCCTAGGACAGCCTGCTTCACTTCATCATCATTGTGTTCACTGTTCCCACAGAAAGATTTGTCTCTTGTGCAATTTCATGACAGGTTATGCATCGATTATCCAGGCTTCCACATGCTGAATGGAAGGACTGCTGTGGGCTGGGAATCATCATGGCGGGGATTGTCACTGACGGACATATGGCCATCTTTGAAACATTTACACCATTCAAAAGCCTTACTGCGGCTGGGCGTCTCATTACCGTACTGTACTTGAAGTCTTCTGTAAATGTCCGCTGGTGTTATGCCTTTGTGAGATAGGGAAACAGCTCTCATTGTTTGAACACTGTGTGGAAGTAAATTAATGTTTTGACTGAAATTCTGCGGTTTAGCCACAAGATGTCACAGTTTTTCTAACACAGCCTCAGACTGCATAGATATTTGTATATTCATGAAGAGGTGGGGTTTTGCACACAGAGTTGGAGAGAACAGGAAGGAGAGAGAGAAGCCATGTTTTGGAGCATGGTGAATAAGGGGCCGTGTGAGCTGAGAATCTGATGACATCCAGGTGTGAAAGCGTCCCTCAGTAACCAGAGCTGCAGCTGAGTGAAGCTGATGAGATTGCCAGGAAGCTGATGAGATTGCTGCCAGGAATGCTGATCAGATTGCTGCCAGGAAGCTGATGAGATTGCTGCCAGGAAGCTGATGAGATTGCTGCCAGGAATGCTGATGAGATTGCTGCCAGGAAGGCTGATGAGAGCAGAGGAACTAAGCACCATATATGGCGAGACCGCATGCTTGTTGGAGAGACATTTGTTCTGTTCAGAGTCACCAGCGTATGCAAAGCAGACCCGGGTCGGTAAGATCGTGCACACACCTCATTTCAGTGTTGGCGCCTGGAGACTGAGTCCAGGCCTATATTTAGTTAGTTAGGGTCTCTGTTTGTGTCAGGCCACAAGTGTTGTTACTGATTATTGGAAGGACTCCACAACTTAAAGTGACATTTCACATTGGAGAGCTGATAATATCCTACAAACTCAAGCCAGACTGGCGGTTTGCTCAGAAGGAATACTCAGGCATGTGCTACAGGACCAGTTATGGGAGGGGGAATACTGTAGATTTGTGTAAGATTGTAAGCTGTTGTGCTGCACCGCAGGCTAGCCCATACCATACACCCATACACTGATTCCTGCTCTTTTAGGGTAATAACAAGGTGTGGCAGCTTATTTTTGCCCGTCAGTAGATAAATTCACTTTCTACCTTCATCCATCAGAAGGCACCGTGTTGTGCAGCACAAGGGTCTCAGCCTTTGGGCTGGGTGTATGTACATTTATTGTATGTTTCCAGCATTTGTGGTTGTGTTTATTTGCCACATCTAAGTAAAATTCTGTTGTGGCAAAAGCTGGTGTTGGGGTTGCTTTCCTCATTCGTGACTTCACTGTATCCTGGGGAGCCCACCCCCGGTACACGGCTTACACCTTCGTTCACAAGAAACGTCATCACCACACGCTGTTCATTGTTGTCTGTCATCTTGATAACTGGTCTCTGGACTGGCCCGTGACATGTGTGTGCCACCTATCAGTAATAGGACACACTTACCACTTACTACTGCGTGTAGTACCGCCATGCTAGAATCCCTTTTTATACTGTAAAATTAAACATCCCGGTTTGACTTGAATGCCCCTCGAGTGTATATATAAATATATATATATATATATATATTGCATAAAATAAATTTGTGTTTACTTACTATGTTAGTTATATATTTATATTGAGCTGACCCAGCCCATACAGCCAGTTATTAAGGCATGCTTTCAGTGAAGTCTGCATTTAAATATACTTGTGGTCTTATATGCATTATAATGATTATTTTGATTGATCATTCATTTATAGTTTTGTCCACAATGCAGACTGATTCATGTATTAAAGCAGAATTATACTGCATCTGAGCAACACAAACCAAAAACTATTAAATTGAATTTTTGGTGTTAAAAGCA